CTGGAGCCCGTTTAACGATTGGTAGCGGAAGGTCCAGCGGGGAGGAAGGCGAGCACCCCGCTGGCCCGGCGGAGCTGGGGCCTTTTGCAGGGCAAGATTTGGGCCCCAAACTCCGATCCTGCAAATGCTGACCAGCTCTGTCCCGGCAGGGATTCTGAAAACACGGGTACCGGGACTTTGCGCTTTTACTTTTGAGACAAGAGCCGAGTACGACGCACAGGAGGAGAACAATTCGTCGCGCTTCCCTCGGGGCGCGCTGGGGGCTGCCACAGGTGGGGAAAACTCAAAACATCCGCCAAACACGCCAGTGACTGTCCCAAAACCTAAGTTTGAGGATGCAAAACTGGAACTGGGGTTACGAGAGCGGAGGACTGGCATTTTTCAGAAGCTGAAGCGGTGGGTGCTTTGGCTCCTGGAGTTGCCAGGGTGGTGTTGCTTTTGTGTAAAGAAATGGCAAAGTTTTAGTGCTCTGTTCCTTCTCTCTTTGGCTGGCAAACAGGCTCTCCCCGAGGATGTGCTGCCAACCGTGTCCTCCGGGCCCTGTGCTCCCCGAGCAGAGCCAAGCTGCAGAATCCTCCCTTTCGGGACACCCGTTTCAACCTGCTCATTCACTAAAAACCAGAGTGAGTCATAACTCTCGCTTTGTAAATCTTCACGAGTGTTTCCACTGCTAGTTTCTGGCAAATGAAAGCCTGGAGCCTTAATCTAAAGTGCTGTCTATTTTCACTTTGCCAGTGTGGTTTTTTTTTTTTCTTTCCCCATGGTGCTTGAACACCTGGGATGCTACAGAGGAAACCAGCATCTTTTGGCTGGGTGTTGCCAAAGTCACAGGGAAAATGCTCAGGCTAGGAAACATCAAGTGAACAGCGCCGGGGGGCAGCAGGTACAAAGGGTCCCAGGGCAAAAATGGGGTGACAGCTCGTGGCAGAGCAGACAAGACACCGTGCTTACACCCCACTGTGCTCCTCTGCTGTAAGGGGAATTCTTCCCAGTGCACAAGAATGTGGTGGATGTCAGAATCAGGCCCGTTACCCTTAATATTGCATACAATTAATCAGTTTTTGTGTCACGCTTCATTCAAAGCTCCAGACACTTTGCTTGACTGATGTTGCAATTTCTGCCACAGCTTTGACGGGTTGTCGCAGCACCTCAGCACAGCTCGGAAGAAGTTTAATTCAGAGTTAGGGGGTGGTTTCCCAATGGCAGTGTTGAACACCAGAGCTGGGCTCCAGGGTGAATTTGTTCTGTGCTTGCAGAAAGAGAAGGCGCTGCTGGAGCTGGCAAGGCCAGACTGAACCAGCCCTGTCCCTGGTGTTGGTGCAGGGTAGGTGCTGGATGCTGCAGCTCTGAGCTGCAAAACTCTTTGGATGTTTTTGTGCTCACTCTGTGATAATGCATTGCAAGATGTGGGGCTGACATGCTGAGTGCTGTGGAACGGTTTCCATCTTTCACCCCAGAGATGCTTGGTTTGGGGAGCATGTGTATTTTCATGCCCTGAAGAATTGTGCCCTTTTCCTGGACTCCAACCTCATGTTCTAATTTTTTCTTTTCCCAGGAGTCCGCTACCTACCAAACCAGGTCTGACCCTGGGAGTGTGGGACAGGACTGTGTTTCAAACCGTCAGACACAGGTATAGGCTCATATTAATTTATCTCCTGCTCTTAAAATAGATAAAACAGAGCTGATAAGGTATTTGTGTGTTCTTGTCCCTGGGATGTGTAATATGCTTTTATATTCCAAAACGGCTGGCTTGAACAAGACTGCTGAAAACAGCACAGCCGGCATCTGTGTGCAGAAGGAAATGATGAACTTGCTTTTCCTTAGCTGCAGAATTGCAGCCTGGAGGTGAGGAAACTTTGCTCCTTTCACAATATTCCTCCTAATGCCATTCCAGAAAGGGCTCTTGTATTCATGTGTCTTCTCGGGCCCAGTCAATTTACATATGAATGCACTTTAAAAATAAAATGAAAGTCAAAGCTATGGTCAGAAGAGTGATAAATGTTCTTGTGCACGTGCAGTCGCTTGGAAGGGGGGGCTGGCTGCTGCTGGAGAGCTCTGCTGTTACCAGCGGAGGTGGCGTTTTGTGGCTCTGCAGAGCAAGTTGCCTCCACGTGCAGCCTTTGACTTGAAAGAAGAGCAGAGCCTCTCCCCAAGGTCCCATTAGGGATGATTTGTCTTCCTGATCCATGATCTTTGTGGAAATGAGAGCAATGGTCCCTGTCCTCGTGTCCCCGCTGGACAGATGACAAAGTCACGAGCACTAATTGGCCCCCTTGTTAGGATGGCCAGAATGGCAGGGAAACATTCATGTTTTCAAAATGAAACACCCTCCCCGACCTCAGGATCTGCTCATCCCATTTGCAGCTTATTGCAGGGGGTAGGAACAGGCGCTCATTATAGGTGGCTCTGGATACATTAGAGGCAAAAGCTGCTGTGGGTTATCAGAGGCTGAAACCGGAGCTCAGGTGATGGCTTTTTTTTTTTTTTCCAGCAAGAAAAAGGACAAGATTAAAAACAAAATAGTAAGAATAAAAGGACTCACCTCACAGATCTTCCTGTTGTCAGGTAACCTGTGGCTTCGTGGCCAATTACAGTTCTCACACGGAGCCGTGTTAAAACACCGGGCATTTCTGCCGTGCTGCTGTTTCATTGGGAATGTGAGTCATACCCGGCGGTGGCCGAGGGCACAGCCATGTCCAGGACACAAGGGAAGTCGATAGCCTCAGGTTCTGTGAACCCTTGCCTCTGCTGGTGGCATTTTGCATTCCCCAAGCACGTCTTTGGGTTGTGGGGCAAAACCAATCCGCAAAAGTGAAATCCCGCTGTGACCATTGAGTTTTTGGTGGAAGAAGCAGCTGGGAAAGGAGGTGGATGGAGTCCAGTCTGAACCTTGAGCTCAGTCTGTATTTGAGCCACCGATCTTCAGGAGGCTCAAAACAATTCTGGAAAAAGTAGTGCCAGCATTGGCTTTAAAATAAACCAAGCAGGCTTCTTAGCTCTCATTCAAAACAGGGCTCAGGTGTGGCTTGAGCATTTGTTTCCCTCTTGCATGAATTTACTCATGCTACGAGCTGCAGTGAGCCCTGGGCACATCCCGGGCGGCAGCAGGACTCTGGGAGCAGCAGGTCATGGTGGTGGCCCAGCTTCTGCATCCTCCTGCCCCGTTCAGCTCCTTCAGCCTGATCGCAGGCAGTGTATTAGATGGAGTACAACTGGATCATGTAGTAACATGCTAAATTGAAGAGTTTAGTTGTTATTTAATAAATGCCAAGGAGACTCATGAGGCCTTGAAGTTGTAATAGAAAGATCTAATTTAGAAAAAAAGGAGCAGAGATGCCTGTGAAAGCTGCCAGCAAACAGCGCTGGATATTGAACATTTCTATTTACCCTCTGAATGGAGCAGAGATGGCGGGAGCTTCCTTATAGCAGGGCTGGATGCTGCCTGGGGAAGCAGCATCTGGGGCAGGAGGAGGTCCGAGAGTTCTTGGTGGAGCTCGGTCCCGGGAAGCTCTGCTGTGTCTTGCCTTAGACAACACCGTTGCTGTAAATTGCCTTTGGATGCCAGATTTTTTTAAGAAAAAGAGACCCCACTGGCTCCATGAAGCACATCGAGTGGAAAGTATAGCACAGAGGCATGGCTACAGAACAATTTAATGTTTTTGAGTCAAATCTGATGAACTTCCCGTTCATTACTGGCCATTATACAAAACATAGCTGAAGGTCTCTGTGGGACACAAATGATCACTTTTGGAGATGTCCCTCTTCAAGAGTAACTCCCAGTGTATCTGGCGTAAGAATATAACCTGAGAAATACAATTTAGTGCCAGGAGGTTTGACTGCAACCCTGAGCTTTCCTTGCTGTCGTATGGCAGAGACCTCTAAAATTTCAAAAGAAGTTATGGCACCTCTCTCGCATTCTGTACTTAGAACCTTTTAATAGTTTTCGTACAACTCATTCCTATCTAGGTTAAATTACAAATATTTCATGTTTACAGTCATGGAAATACTCTGTGCAGGCTCCTAGGAGTGGGCTTTGCTCTGAGGCAATGCTATCTTGTATTCCCATGAGGACATTTCCAGCTGGATCCTGTTCTTCTCACAATTCTGCTTGTGCCCATTAGGTGTCAGGCTGTTATCGGCACAGTCTTCTCCAGAAACCTGGGTTTTGCAGAGTATGAGAAGCCAGGAGCCGGCGCAGCTTGTCTAGGGTGCTGGCTGCACGCTTGCCAATGGATCCTACCCAGAAAGGGCAGACTGGGTGCTGTGGTGCTCTCTGGGTCACCAAGTGGGGACTTTGTGCTGGCCTTGGCCCAGGCATTCCCAGCTGTGGTTCCTCCAGAGCCACTGCCGGCTTATCCCGGGGCCCCAGGCTGAGCATTCCCAGGCAGCGACTCCTGCCCCAATGCTTGCAGGGGGTTTGCAGTGCATTTGTATTTTAGATCATGTGTAATAATTGCATTCCTCGGGTCGGCTCTTCCTATTGCAGGAGCTCCGTCCTTCTGCTCTCAGACCTGCTTTGCTCTAAGGGTCACTGGGGTGCTGCCAGAGCGGTGATGGGTCTCTTCCCACCTCATCCATCGTCCTCTTGGGGATGAGCAGTTGAAGCTGAGTGTTGAAGGTTGGTGCCAAGCCATGCCAGCAGCATGAGTTCAAGGTGCTGGGACAGCTCAGATGTTTTCCTGCATCTCAGGGCTTGGGAGTGCTGCCGAACACGTGGGGATTCATTCAGGGACAGAAAGGTGCCATGAGCCAAGGTGCAAGGTGATGGAAAGGGGTCTGTGAGCTTCAAAACGGCCTATTTAAAGGGCAAGATCAAAGATGCACAGTGAGATAGATACCTTCCCCGCGACACAAAGGAAAGCCATAATGAAACTTGAGATGCTGCGCTTGCTATATATTTCAAAAGGAAACTGTTCCGCTTTGACTTTGTGCTGCAATTGCTGAGAGCTTTCAGTGAACTGGGGGAGGAATGAAAACATGTTGTGCTCCAGCTCCCCTCATTACTGCTTCTCCGACTTCTGCTGTGAAGTCCCGGCACAGCCGTGGACTTGTCCGTCTGCAATTATCATGTCTTGCATTTACAGAGCGCCTTTTCTGACCGGCTGCTTGCTCAGGAGCACCCTGCAGCCACCCATGAGGCAGGGGACCACCAGACAACTTCTGTGGAGCAACTCCCGATTCCCGGCAGAGCGGTCCTGAGCACCGTCCCAGCCCCCATTAGCTCTAAGCCGGTGTTTTTAAAAGACATCTTCACATGTAGGAGAGCTTTTCAGATCACCTTCAAGGAGTACTCTATTTTTAGCACCCGTGGACTCTCTTGGCTGCAAACAAGCGAAACCTCTCTGCGGTGAATTCACAACAGGGCAACTGACGGGTGTTCAAAGTCTCCGACTGAAGCGTGGCACACAGAGCGACTTGTCCCCGAGGTCCTCGCGGAGCAGGTTGAGTCCACGCTGCCACCACAGGATGCGGCCTCCCAGTCACGCTGGGGCGGGCAGCAGGGGAGGCAGGGGCCAGGGCTGCGGTGCACAGCAGGGCTCGTTCGCTGACGCCTTTGCAATTGCAAAATGCACTTTGCGCGAGCAGGCTTTGATTCAGGGTTTGCAAACAACTGCTGTTTGGTTCAGTGGTTAAAATGCTTCCTTAAATGAGTTTTGGATCAAAGCGAAGATCACCACTGTTTTGAATTTTCATCAGACTGAAAAAACACGCTGGGCCAGAGAGTCCGTGCAATCCTTTGACTTGGGTTCTTCTCCAGCAAACCAGCACAGAGCAAATCACCCTCAGCAGAGCAGCCGTACGGAGCGAAAGCCTCCCTGCTGCTCTGCAGGGTGAAGGGACCTCCCAGAAGCAGTTTCAGGCTGCTTGAAGCAGCATTTGGCAAACACGCTAATAGTCATTTTAAGGATCTATTTTTCCCCAGTCCTCATTCTGCTCTCCCTGTGGGCCAAAGTCACCTCCCAGTGCTCCAGCCGAGAGAGGCAGAGGGCAGGAGCCCTGACCACCCTTGTGCTGCACGCGCTCCACATTCACACCCACGTGCGCTCCTGCTTTTACATGGGGTTTTTGGGCCATGGCCTATGTCCAGTGATGGTAATTTTGGACTAAGTGCAGCATCAGATTCACCCTCCTGTTCTGCAGAGCTGTCAGGGATGGAGGAGTATTGACTGGGCACCACAAATGCCTTCAGTGTGACAGATCCATAACAGCTTTGGAAACGGAGGAGGAGATCAAATCCTGTCCTTCTGGTAAGCGTTAAGAAAAGTATGGCATTCAGAGAGGCGCTTTCTCCTGCATGGGGCTTGTGTTGCTGGCATTAATGGACAGCCCTTTTGAAGTGTTTCCTCATCCTGGTCTTGAATCCCTTGGCAGTGGCCTGAGCCCCTTGGAGAATGACCCAAACCCTCTCCGATCCATGCAGCACCCCTAGGGCAGATGGCTCTATGGCACCAGGAGGCTGCAGAGCCGAGATGACAGCGTGAAGCTACAAACCTTCACCCAAAGTGTGTTTCACTGAGGTTCAACGATGCACCGATACCTGGCGCTGCCCCAACTGGCCTAGGAGAGCCAGAAGGGGGAAAAAAAAGTGCCCATTGCCATTACCTGACGTGCTTTGCTTGCTCCTTGCTGCACTCTACACCGTGCAGGGTGAGGGCTGGATTAGACCCACAGCCAGGCATCCCTGCCCACCACCCAGCTTGGCCGGGGCTCAGAAAACCCACGAGCATGGAAGGGAAGGAGCGGAGGCAGCGCCCTGGGCTCCCGGCACCGCCTCGGGCGAGCTGTGCACGCAGCCACGCGTGGGACGGGAAAGCCGGAGCAGCTTGCAGACGTACGTGCCGCAGACGGGGAGGAAGGAACCGGCTGCGAGGAGCCCGTGGGAGGAGAAGGAGAAAACTGGGTGTCAGCAAACGAGGCAGATTGAGAGCTGAGATGTGTTAGTGGTTGTATTTGGGATATGATCAACGTTTCCTTGTGACTTGCACAATCTGCAGGGGCCCAAGTGGTACCAAAAAAAAATAAAAATCAGTGGGAATGGAGCTCCTACATCTCCTTATACTGCAGGAGGCTGCAAAGGAGGGTGAAGCCCTCACACCCTGTGCAAGGGCAATGCAAGTCGGAGCATGGGCTCATTTGGCTGCCACAGGGCAGGAGGTGGGCGAGCTGCTGGGTGGCAGAGGGCAGCCCCTGGTCCTGGGAGCTGGTGGGTGCTGCTGGCACAGCCAACCCATGGTGTGCAGCCTCCTTCTCCTCTGGATACTTGTGGGTATGGCCCTGATGGTTTGGTCCCCAAACCTCTCTCTGGGGAGATCTTCAGCACGAGGGAAAAGCTGCCGCCAGCAGAAACCTGCCACTTGTTGGGAGCGCTGGGCAGCGGCTTGGCCTCAGCACCCTGCGGAAAGAGGAGCTGGGAGGATGGGTCTTATCATCACCCCCGCACATCTCCACTGTGGTAATTCGTATGAGTGTCACTGGCACATCTGTTCAGAGAGAGAAAAGTAATACAGGTCCAGCTGAGTGATGAAATTGCTTTCAGGGCTGTTGATTCCCAGCTCGGGGGTGTGCGGTCAGCTTGACTGCAGGCTGGGGATTTTTAATTTATTTTTTCCTCTCTCCCTTGCCCTGTTCCTTGCAGCCAGCAGAGATCAGTCACATGTAAAGGAGGCAGTGCCAGCATCTTTGAATCCAATTCCCCGTGTTCCCGTTCTGTGGGAAAGATGGCCCATCTGGGCTCGTTCCTGAGACCCTGAAATTGCTCACACTGTGCCTCGCTGAAGGATTTGTATCTCGCTCATGACCAAACTGTTCTGCTCCACCTTTTCCTATACCTCCCCCTCTGCCTGGCTGCATTTGGCCTCTGCTCTGGGACCGGTACCCCTTTCTCCTCTAGATGGTGCAACTGCCATTGAACACCAAGGAGACACCGAGCTGCAGCCAGACCCCAGCCCCTGCAGCAGAATGTGGGGTGCAGCTAGCCCTGGGGTCTGCCCTCAGCTCCTCACGACCCCTCCCAGGTCTCTCCCGCTGGCAGGACGGGTGCTGGGGGGCATTGCCCTGCATGCATCACCCACCCGAAGGGCTGCGCCAGATACCTGTGGAGCATCATCGCTGTGCCAGCCATGGGCACAGGGCTGCATGGAACCGAGGGGATGAGAAATCCGTCTCCCGCTATTCCTGGCATCACTGTCCTTGGCAGAGCACGTCCTGGCAGTGCCCGGGGGAGATGCTGGCAGAGAACAGCGGAAGGCGGAGGAGAGGGGACAGATCCCAGGGGTGACCCCGTGCCTTGCGGCAGTCGGGCTGTTTCCGTTCACACCGGGTGCGGAGCAGGCCGGCCGGAGGGGCTGCGATGCCATCATAGCCTTTTGTTAGAAACCCCACTCGCCTGCCATCCCCTGACTCATCTCTAGGCGGGGAGGGATGCGGGGTGGCCAAACCTGCAAGTGCTGGGCAGGAGAACAGCCCCTGCAACCGGCAGCTCAAGGCTGGTATGCACTGAACTGCGCCGTCCTCAGCCTCTCCACCCATCCCATGGCAGCAAGAAGGACACACGCAGAGATGCTCTTCTCCTCCAGGGCCACCACTATAGGACCAGCTCCTCGCGGCTGCAGGGCATTTATGGCTTAGGGGTTGCGTCAGGGCAGAGTGAACTCAGCCGGGTTTGCCAACTCCCGTGAGCAGGCGAGGACAGTCATCGGCGAGCCCAGCAGATTGGATTTGGGACCCTGCAGGCACGAGGGGAATCCTAGGCAGTTCTCCCTGCAATACTCCCCGTTTGTTTAGGCTAAAAACAAATAAATACAAGCTTAATGATTTGAGTGAAACAATAGGAGAGATTCCAGCATAAAGAAAGGTTTCCTCCTATTAAGCTTTGCTGGCAAGCTTTAGAGCCTGTATTTTAAATAAATGTTATGGGTGCATTTAAAAACACACCATATGTTCTCCTGCGGATCTTTCTGGTAGCTGCTATAGCGTGGCTCTTGACTGGATCTCCTCCTCCCCGTGCCATCGGCTCGCCTGGGTGTATTTTGCAGTGCCACCCACGGTGCCACAGCCGGAGCAGAGCCCCGCGCCCCAGCTCCTCCTCGCACCGGGGAAGCCACGTGCGGGACTCCCCGTGCCCCACGGCATGGGCGCCGGCGTGTTCCTCGAAGTCTCTGCCGCGAGCGTGGGTTGCAAAATAGTCTCTCATTAAAGGTCAGGGTGTTTTTGCTGGAGAGCCGATTAAATTCCTGAGGACCTGTGCCGCCTCCCTGCCACAATTCCCACGGCTCTTCCAGCCGCAGCCTCGCCCTGGTTTTTTGGAAGCACCCCAAAACCCATCCAGGCCTTTTCTACCTGCAGCGAGGTCAGGGAGCGTGCTCCCAGTGGGAAGGATGAGCAGAGGGAAGGAAGGGCCAGGAGCTGCAGCAGGATTTCGGATTTCTGAGTTCCCCCCGACCGCTGTAGATGGCACTCGGGCCCCGCCGCCTGCCCAGCTGCCGGCGAGCTGTAATGCATGCTGGCACGGAGTCAGGGGATGAGCTCTGACTAAGTTTACAGCAGATTTTCCCTTCTGACAGATTACCGCTTCATTTGTAAGAGGAGAACTTCTCATTAAGTCAATTTTTGACATTTTGTTGGGGGGGGGGGGGGAATAAAATCCTCGTGATGCCAAGCGTGCTGGAGCACGAGTGCGGCTGAGTCTTCGCTGGTTTGGGGGCTGGAGTTGAGGGGCTTGGGTTTTGTTTTTTTTATTTTGCTTTGGCACCAAAGTCCCTTTTCATAATTATTCAGCTCTGAGCACAATCGCTGCGGGTGGGAGGCATGTTTAAAACAGAACCCAGCTGAAAAGCCAGGAGGACTTTGTGGTGGAGAAACGGCAGCTCACCGTTCCAGCAATGCTCTGATTTCAATACTAATCCAATAAGGTTTGATTAAAGTATATTTTCAAGGCAAAATCCAATCTAACTGCTATTATCGTTGCTCTCAGCACTGTGCGAGTGCCTGGGCTTTGGCTGCGCGCAGGGATGGCGATCGCAAGGCACCAAGTCGGTCCCGGCTCTGCCAGGGACCCGTGGCTCTGCGGTGGGGACCTGGGGACGTCCCCCGCGGGCACCCGGTTTGCCTCGCACGATGCTCTGCTCTCGCCAGGCTCCCTGTGCAAGCCGTCCTAATCGTTACAACAGAATGAAGACTAATTTTAGTGTTAATTATGCAAATCAGCCTTGATGGGAAACTCCAGAGTGAGGTTATTATCGCTCTTTTTTCCAGGGTGGGGAACAGCCCTTTTGGAAAATCCTTCTTCTTGCACAGCCACGAACCTTTCTTCCCCTTGGGTTTCTTTCAAGTGAAAAAAATGCTGAGCAAG